CAGCCACTATGGAAAACAGTATGGAGATTTCTCAAAAAACTAAAAATAGGGGCCAGCCCGGTGGCGCAGCAGGTAAGTGCACACATTTCGCTTTGGCACCCCGGGGTTTGCCGGTTCAGATCCCGGGTGCAGACATGGCACCACTTGGCAAGCCATGCTGTGGTAGGCGTCCCACATATAAAGTAGAAGAAGATGGGCACAGATGTGAGCTCAGGGCCAGTCTTCCTCAGCAAAAAGAGGAGGATTGGGAGCAGATGTTAGCTGAGGGCTGATCTTCCTCAGAAAAAAAAAACTAAAAATAAAAATACCATATGACCCAGCTATCCCACTACTGGGTATTTATCCAAAGAACTTGAAATCAACAATTCACAGAGACTTAGGCACCCCTATGTCCATTGTAGCATTAGTCACAATAGCCAAGATGTGGAAGCAACCCAAGTGCCCATCAACCAATGACTGGATAAAGAAGATGTGGTATATATACACAATGGAATACTACTCAGCCACAAAAAAAGACAAAGTCATCCCATTCGCAACAACATGGATGGACCTTGAGGGTATTTATGTTAAGCGAAATAAGCCAGACAGAGAAAGACAAATACTGTATGATTTCACTCATATGGGGAAGATAAACAAACACATGGACAAAGAGAACAGTTCAGTGGTTACCAGGGGGAAGGGGGCTGCGGGCGTGGGCACAAAAGGGTAAAGGGGAGCACTGATATGGTGACTAACAAAAAATAATGTACAAATGAAATTTCACAGTGTTGTAAGCTATTATAACCTAAATTTAAAAAAAAAAAGTTATTTAAAAAAAAACAGATTTAAAGAAAATGTCAGCAAGGTTCAAGAAGGTACATTTCTTCCATGTTCAGCTAGTGTTCATGAGACAGCAGTGCACACAGTCGGGCGCTTTGTGGTGTCAGAATCCTCTGCTTCCCCTTCAAGAGGCCGCTTTCGACTTGTGGAAGGCTGGAGATAAGGGAAAAGGGAGAAATGTTCAAAGAAAACCACTGGATTCTTTGATTGTCTTCATTGACCTCTGAATCTCCACTACACCTCTCGAGACTCAGACAAGCTTATCAAACTCACATTTCTCTCCCCTGTGGCTTCCAACCATTCAAAGATATATACTGAAAGTCAGCAGCATAGCCAGCCTCCTTCTGGTCACCTTCTCCTAAATTATGAAGTGTAAAGGGACTACAACACCCCTCACCAGGAGCCCCAAGCCTTGTTCTTTTGTGAGAAGACAACATTTTGTGTCTTTGTTTTCCCATTTATAAAACTGCGAAGGGGCAGTGGGAAGAGGGGTGTTATCATTCACCAACAGAAGATAGGACAAGAATGAATAGATATTAACTTATGAAGAACTTGAAGAGGAATAAAATTATAATCAATAAATTATCAACCATTCGCCCACTCTTTAAATTTTTCAACAAATTTAAATTTGAACCTCTAAAATAGGCTTCCAATCTTGACTGGCAGGAGACGTCCTAAAAGACACTCCCTAGCTGGGCTTCTCTAATGCATTAAACATACTCTTCATTATTAAATCTTCTAAGGCTGCTAGAGCAGATCAAGCTGAAACAAAATATACCACATTGATCCTAAAAACAATGTTAAGCAATTGCTGCTAAAGAGGCTATTGGAATTCAACATCCTTGCTCATCTGCTCTTTAAACTTAGCCTACGTTTAATGACCCTCATCCAGAATACCTGGGCTGGGGCCTCAGGTAGAGCCGTTGATTTATTTTCTTCAGAAAGCAAATTCTGAAATTTTCTCTTCATGTCCTCATCCTGTGAAGAAATGAGAAACATAAATAGGTTGTGTCTGAGGGAAAGAAAGCTCCTAGAAAGACAAGGCTAGGATGCCCCTGGAAACAGGGAAGTGGGAAAAGACATCCAGTATGTGCACCTAGAGGCATACCTTTGCTGGAGCTCCATGAGAGAAAGGTGGTCCTCACCTCTGCCTTCCCAGAGTGGTCTAATCAGCAGTCAGGACTCAAACCCACATACCTAAGAGCTCTCAGTGGGTCAGAGACAACCACAGACCTTAGCAGTCAAGACTTGCAGAACCAGCATCCCAGATGCTGAGAGATGGCAAGCAGGAGGCCAGAGGCTGGGGTTGGCTCAGTTCTCTGGGGGCTGACTCCAGGACACCCCCTCTCCTCCTTGATAACAATGAAGCCAGTAACTGGGGCCAGCCTAACAAACCAACTCAGCACCCTAGGAAAATTCAGCCAGCAACTGCTGTACAAGTCCCAGAAGGACTTCAGGTGCACAATAGCCTAGAGCTTGGCTCTAACGAGAAAGGAAGACAATAAGAGGCCACAGCATTACAGGTGTTTCTTGCTGCTGGAGGGGGCAGAGGGGGTGCAGCACATGCACATCCTGCCCAGATGTGTATGAGGGTAACTCCTACCTCCCTGGACATTCACTTCTGCAGGGTTCAAAGATTTGCCTCTGGGAGTCCTGAGAGGTGACCCGGTGCAGCTCTCCCCGCCTTCAGAAAGGTAAAGCATCCATGACTAGGATCAGAGGCTTTGAGGACAGCTGGACGCCCAGCTCAGCCACCCACAAGTAACGTGTGCAGAATACAGACCCAGAGCTGCCTGATTCCAAAGCCCCACTTACTTTCCCACCCAACCCTACTCTTCCCACTAAGCCACGTGTACCATGGTGGGTGGGGGAGAGGACATGGGAGTGAAGGCCTCCAACATTCAGCAAATTAATGGGTATAAAAAACTTCAGTGCTCAAAGATGAATTCACCTGTTATATATCTCGTGGAGAATCACCTGCTTCCATCGCTCTGTTGATGGCATCACTCAGTGTAGCTCCCCACTGCCCATTTTGAGAGTGCCAAGTTCATCTGGATTCCACTCCACAACCTCCCTTAGGATCTCACTTCTGGCACAGTGCCACTCTAAAGGTCCGCGCCTTATTTCCTCCTACACCTGCTCACAGCCTTCCCCGGGAATGCCCTCCTGGCCCTCCTGCCCGTCCCCCTCGCCCACCTTTCTCATTCACTCCATGAACAAATATTTCCCCAGCACTCTTAGATGCCAGGCACTGTGACAGGCACAGGGGCCTCCATATCAGAGGGACTCAGTCAATGTTGAAAATGCTGTCCTCTATTGTTGTGGGCTGAACTCTGGCTCCCCTCCCCCCCCCTTCAAATCCATATGTTGAAGCCCTAACCCCCAGTGCTGTGACTATATTTGGAAACAGGGTCCGTAAAGAGGTGATTAAGTTAACATAAGGCTGTTAGGGTGGGGCCCTAATCCACTATGACTAGTGTCCTCCCAAGAAGAGAGGCCGGCCTGGTGGTGCAACAGTTAAGTTCGCATGTTCCGCTTCAGCGGCCCAGGGTTCACTGGTTCAGATCCCGGGTGCGGACATGGCACCACTCGGCAAGCTATGCTGTGGTAGGCGTCCCACATATAAAGTAGAGAGAGATGGGCACGGATGTTAGCTCAGGGCCAGTCTTCCTCAGCAAAAAAGAGAAGGATTGGCAGCAGATGTTAGCTCAGGGCTAATCTTCCTCAAAAAAAGAAAGAGAAAGAGACAGCAGGGATGTGAGCGCACAGAAAAAAGACTATGTGAGGACACTGGGAGAAGGCGGCCAACCTGCAAGGCAAGGGGAGAGGCCTCGGGAAAAACTAAGGCTGCCAACACCTTGAAATTGGACTTCTAGCCTCCAGAACCGTAAGAAAATAAATTTCTGTTGTTTAAGCCACCCAGTCTTGGGTGTTTTGTTATGGCAGCTCTAGCAAATGAATACACCCATGTCAGCCCCAGGCTACCCAACCGTTAGACACTATCCACACCGTGTGAACCTGTGAGTACCTCAAGCCCCGTGGTTAGTGGTCCCATCTCATCCTGGGGATCCCCCATACTCTGCACCTACCTCTCTTAACACATGTATCCCACTGTTCTGTAGTGACCCTGGTCAGGCCTGGCCCCCACTCAGACTGTCAGAACCCCAAGGCAAGGGCTTATCTTAACTCCTCTTTGCATCCACAGTACCTAACAGTGCTCAACATAGGAGCTCATTAATTGTCCCTGAAAGAATGAATGCACTAAGAAATGAAACCATGCTGGAACGCCCCTTGTGGCAGCCCAACAGAACTGACCACAAGCCCATTTAGGCCTACATTTAAAACAAGTCAATTAGCAATAATTTGGAAAAGGAGCTCATTACATACCACAGGTCGCAACGTGTACCTCTAAATATCCTTCCTCTGAGGTGTCTACAGTCTATTCAGTAATATTAAATTGTAATATGCCTCAAAGGGAAGCAGGAAGGAATCCTCTATTTTGGGAAGTGAACACGAGGCCAAAAGTGGATATAAGGGATGCTCCCCAAACTGGACACTATTAATGACAAAACAGAGACCGGAATTCACATTCCAAATGCTCAGTCCAGTGGCAGATCCACAAAACCGTTTGGTTTCTTCAAAAACACTGAATTTTCCCAAAATAAAAGCTGAACTATCGCTAGCAGATGATTTACATGGGGAATCTGCATCCTTGTCCTCACTCAATGTTCGCTCCACCTTTTGCTGCAAAAACAAAAAGTAGACAAAAGGGTGTTCAAGTGAGACCCCTGTGGCAGGGCTGAACTTTACCTCTTCCTCCGTGTCAGTAACAGTTTTCTTTTGAGACAAGAAAAATCAGATAGACTTGTTTAAATTTCCGGCAGATGCAAACCCTGTTCCCAGGCCTAACTGGCAAGCTCCTCCACCTCCACATCTGGCCCCAAGAGTTTCCCTAGCAGGGCACTTGAAAAGAGCCAAGAGGCATGTTTTTCTTTTTCATCGAAATTAAATTCCCACATGCAAAGGCACCCTTTGTTTCCAAATTCCTTTTCTCCAGGGTCCTGCTGTTTCAAATCTGTGTGGTCTATTATGTGCTAAATCATCTGACAGATTTCTTCTGGGGGGACTGGTGTTTCCAGGGCAACATCCCAAACATATATCTACTTTTTTGTTCTTTTAAGGATTTGTTGTTCTCAACCTGAGCAAAACTGTTAAGAGGTGAAGGGTTGGAAAAGAGAAAGAATGAGGACGGTCTTCCCCAGAGTCCCAGAAGCACAGTGCTGCGACTGGCTGGCTCGAGGATTTCCTGGAACAGTAACCCTCCAGAGTGACAGCCCCTGGTTCAAGCTACCTGGGTAAGTCCCCACCCCACAGGAAACAGAGACCGAATGAAAGTTAGTAGAAAGGGGCATGGCTGTGCCAAATGGACTGCACATAATTGAAGACCTGACGCTCGTCAGAAGAAAACTGCCCGATGCTGTAAGTTAACTCCAAAACCAAAGACTAGCCCAGCAAACCACAAAGGACCTCCAACTCTGGCAGCTCCAGTGAGGTCAGTGCATAACCCAATGGCAGCCACAACCCCCAGCAGAAACACAGCGGTAATGCAGACTTGAAAGGCGCAGGTAACAGCCTGCACTAATGGCATGCTTACTCACCATGAACAAGAAGTGGGACCCTTTATACTCAATCACTTGGGCCTGAGAAATAGCCAGATTCTCCCCCAGAGAGGCTGTCCTCCTCCTCCTAACCTGCTTCCCTGATTTAAGGTTGAAGATGGTTGGAATGCAGCCCACCCCACCTGTTTGGGGTGGGGGTTTGAGGAAAGAGTAGGGCACAGCTGGGGGTGGAGGTGTGATGCTAGAACCAACCGTGAAAGGAACACAGCCAAACTGCAGACTCAGGAAGCCAAGTGGAACCAGGACAGGCCATAAAGTGGGCTTGTCCATCCAAGAGCCACAAGTTTAGTTGAAAAGGTTGCACCCAAACACAAAGACACACCCACACTCACACCCATACACACACACACACACACACACCCCACACACCTAAAATTCGATCTAAAACAATTGCATTCAACAGACCTAGGGGCTGGCCCTGTGGCTGAGTGGTTAAGTTCGCGCACTTGCTTCGGCAGCCCAGGGTTTCACCAGATCGCAATCCCGGGCGCGGACATGGCACCGCTCATCAAGCCATGCTGAGGCGGTATCCTACATGCCACAACTAGAAGGACCCACAACTAAGAATACACAACTATGTACCGGGGGGCTTTTGGGAGAAAAAATTAAAAAAATAAAATCTTATAAAAACAGACCAAACAAAGCAAACATTGTGTTTCCATCTTCCTTCTCATGTCTCAGGCACAAATCAGGGCTGCCCATGTATTTTTTGCTAGTAGGCACTGCCCCATACCCACCTGAAGCCACGGGTGTCTTAAAGCTTCTTCTGTTGTAAAACGTGCCTTTGGATCCACTATCAACAACTTCTTGACAAGGTCCAGAGCTAAAGCAATAAGATAATTTGGCAAATCACGGTGAAAAGGATAGATACATTAAATCAGAAAAATTAAGTATGCCAGAATCACAGGCCAACATCCAGAAAGAGGAGAGAGGGGCTGAGGTCATTGTGAGTCAGCAGGCGTGGTGGGCAGGGCCCCCTAATCCTCCTCACTCTGTATTCATCAGAGTGCTGTGAGAATACCAGAAATGACCATGATGCTCCCCATCTCGCCCTGCTCGCACATCACAACCTCTTAACCCTCTGTTCCCTCTCTCATTATTGGACTCAAGTTCAAAACTAATTAAAGCTGCACTTCCACCCAGTTCTAAGACACTCAGGATACTCTGCCAACTCTCCCCGAGACCCATGGATTGATGGTGAAAAGTTCCTCAGCCAGCGAAAGGCTCCTTGGAACTGTAGTCTTGGCAGAAATAAAGCTTGAGAGCCAGCCACAAAGGGAGGCTAGCTTGTTTATTGCAACATTATTCCTTAGACAGTCTGACATTTAACACAATCATCTATGTTATGTTATTTGACATGTAGCTTTAGCTTGCTACTTTTTCTTTTGAGAATTACAAAGTTGTACTTTTAAATTCTAAAACAAAGTAACTAATTATATTCAACTTTTACATGCTTACTCAAACGAAACCTTATAACTAAAAAGTTACTTATTATTTTGCACACTTAAATAGGTGCCAGGTATTTGCATATGTTACACTTAACCCTCACAAAAACACTTTAAGCTAGGAGTTTATTGTTATAAATGATATGGAGACTCAGAGAGGTTAAGTAACTCGCCTAAGGTCACATAGCTAGGACGTAGTCAGCTCAGGTCTTGAGGCTAGATCGGCCGAGCTCTGGAGCCCACACTGTTAACAACTTCTTTTGCCTCTCAAATGATACAAAACTAACAACAGAAAATAACAGAATTGACAGAAGAAAACATCAGGAAATTTGAAAAGAAACTCCCACCACAGCACACACACATTTTAGCAAACCACAAATTCTTAACCCTTTCGTATCCATACCCTTCTCTGAGACCTCTGCCCAGACTTCAGGAATGAAGTTGTATTTTCCACTGGTGATCTGATCCTTCAGTGACACTTGAGTCTTATGCTCAGAGAAAGGTGGATACCCACTAAGGCTTAATATTGGTAGAGAGAGAAAGGAAAAGAAATCAAGTGGCATTCTCAGTGGCATTCGGATATACAGATTTCTTTTTCAGCATAATGAAAAATTAGATTTTTCTTTAAATCGATGGTCAAAAAAAGTGTCCTAAATTAAACACAAGCTCTCTCCCGGGACATATTTCTGATTTCACCTAATTACCTCTAACCAGACTCTGAAGCAATGAAAACTTTTCTTACCAAATAAAAAGAATAACTCCTAAACTCCAGCAGTCCACAGCACGGTTATATCCGGCAGTTCCAAAGGAATTAAGAACTTCAGGAGCCAAGTAGGTGGGGGTACCACATAAGGTTCTCATGAGAGAGGTCTCCCCCAGAATCTTGGACTGCCCAAAATCTGTAATCTAAAATTAAGGACAAAAGGGAATCAATTTTAATGGCATCATAAAAAAAAAGGACTAACATAGTCTGCGGTCCCAAAAGACATGCAGGCTAGATGAGTGCCTATCCAATAATTCCCGCCTGCCGTTAATCTGGCATCTGCAAATTCACGTCTTTGTAAAGTAATCTCAAGCTCTGCAAGTTATTTAATTTTGCTTAAATTAAAATTTCTGAGCCAAGGAACCTCAAGGCCCAGGGTTTTTTCCAACTTATCCGTGTTCTCTGTTGTCTCACAAAATGTTTATAGCCCTTATCACAGACACTCTAGGATTCTAACTAGTAATGCATGGTTCTTCTTAGACCCTGGTTTTTCAACCTTGGCTGCACACTGGAATACCTGAGGAGCTTGGAAAAAAATACTTACACTTGGGTGCCACCTTCAAGAGATGCTGAAGTGTCATGGTTCTTTAAAATTAAATTAATTAAATATTTATTTAATTTAATCAACAGTGATTCTAAAAGGAAGCCAGGCTCAGGAAGCACTGCCTCAGACAAAGGGAAGGGGATGACAGGGGATGTGCTTTACTCCTCCATTTAGACCACTCCCTCCCTCCCTCTGAATACAGAAGTGGCTTGTATACAGTGGAGCCCAATAAAAGCTCATTAGACTCTGGATTGGAGCAATACCACCTGACCTCTAAAATAATTTTAAAATAATTGTTTTTTAAAAACTAATAATTCTCAATCTTTATATGCTCCTACGTTTTACCTGATGAATTAAAAAACAGTTTCTAAACAGAAATCTACTGGAGTGATCACACACAGAACACAAATTTCTCACCTTTATAAGACAGTCCTCTTTTTGAGATGAGAGGAGAACATTCTCTGGCTTTAAGTCCCGATGGATAATGCCATTTTCATGAAGGTACTACACACAAAGGGAGGCAGGACCCTTAGACTTACGGAGTAGGTACATCAGCAGATACACACACACGCATCTTACAGCTGGGTGAAACCGTAAGCCATGTTACTCTCAACCATAGTCTCAAAAATCACAGAAAACCATTGGGTAAAGGGGTTAGTGTTTACAAATTTGTTTTCAAGAAAATCATTAAAGAGTAGAAGAGTGAAAAAGGCAACTTATGACAGTAAACCTTTTATTTCATTTTTCAAGATAATAAATATCCCTTCCCATTGGCAGGTGTCAATGTCAATAACAAAAATGTAAATGAGTGATATAAAATATCTTGAGACCATATTAAAGTAAAGCGTAAAAATTCCATCAAACTAATATATTTGGTTGTTCCATCCCTGAGAATATTTTTAAAAGGAATCTGTAAAATACATATTTGTAAATTATCTGTTTAAATACCCAGAGTTCACATATTCCTCGATGCAAAGACTATTAGTCTTCGAAAACTCTACGGTTGAAATACAATGTTGATGGTTGTGTGTTCACTTTTATATGTTGTCATATTTCTTTAGGAAAAAGAAATTCCCACATCCACCGATCTGCACTCAATTCACCCAGATATACTTGGTATAATAAAAGGGAGGAAATAAACCAGTAAGAGAGTAAAGCACTGGTTAGATGTTTATGGACTTCAGTCTTCCCTGGCCTAGGGAAAAATTTCCTCCAAAACACTTCTACTGGGAAAGGGACCTGGTGAAGCCCCCAGGGAGGGCAAACCCAGATGAAGCATCCCAGGAAAATCTCTCCATCCTCACTCAGCAAGCACTACTTCCAATCACTGTTTCCTGCAAGGAGCAAGATTTCAAGGGAAGAAACCTCGGTGGGGAAGCACCACAGCCAAACCTGGTTTGAGAAAGGGTGATGTTCCTCGAAGCAGGCAGGCTACCCCCGGCTGTTCCTCCACCCAACACTTTCCCAAAGTAGAGAAGAGAAGGCAGCAACACAAGCCTGCCTGCCTGCCCGCTGCAGTTAAGAGGATGCTCCACGGAAGGGAACACCCAGCACCGTGCCATGGGGAGCAATCCGTCTGTCACAACCGCCCAAACTTGCCATCCTTACCCTCATACCTGCCCTACTCCCACCCTAAGAGGTAAAGGCAGATTGCTATAAGGATCAGGCAGAAGTAGAGACCAATCCTCCAGAAATACCGCCAAGCTAAAGAGAAGACACATGGAACTGTGCATTTATTTCTGTAACTCCCTTTCTTACTCTCTCTTAAGCTTCACAGCATGCGCTGTCTCATCTGAGTCAAAGGGGTGAGAAGTTTTTGCCAAGAACAGAACAACACACACACAGACTCTCGGCTCTCTGGGTTTTCATCCACGGTCGCTCGCTTTCTGCCTAACTCAGGGAGTAATTCACCTAGAGGAAAGCA